CTTAAGTACTCCTTCTGAAGATGTATTAATATACGAATGTACTTAAGGAAATTCCTGTTTCAATTTTCCTCCGTGGTCTGACACTGTCACATTTTTAATCACGTGTTTATTTTCGTGATATACACACATATGTGTATGTATATTTAGTTGGTGTGGTTAGAGCACTAGCTTGGTACTTCCTGGTGAGAGTTCGCATCCCTGCCACGGTAAATGGATGTAAAATGTGTGCGTGTTCTGGTATTTTGTATTTCTGTGTGTAGGATCGAACTGTTAGCTCTTGGATCCTGCTGTTTTAAATACTAACCGTTTGATGGCGTATTTACTGACTCTCAACCACTTTTTTATATCTACTGCATATATTTATCTTTCTCACACAAACACATATCTCCAGTATGTAGCCCGTAGCAGCTGTATAACTCAAGTACTGATTTACTGTCAGGTGAACAGAGGCATCATGTGAATGAAACTAGTATTGGACTACGACACCTGAGCGCTGTCCGCTCAGCCGTGAGGACTGTGTGTGTGTAATTCTAGAGCTAATACATGCATCATGTCTCTGACCGCAAGGGAAGAGCGCTTTTATTAGTTCAAAACTGGTGTGTGTGTGTGTGTGTGTGAAAGGTAATTGTCAGGAGAAAGCACAAAGCCATTACGACTATAGCACTTGGAAGATAAATGACGATAAGGATTTGATACAGAGGACTGGTTGAGTAGGGTATGAGAAAGTGTAAGTTTATTATTGTGTTCGAAATGTCATCCGGTCGTTAAGAAAGCCCCTATATTTAATGTTGGAAAGGTGAGCACAGATATTTGAGTGTGAATGGGTTTGTGTTAGTAAGTAAAGACATTGTTGACGCCTAGATATCGACCTTCCAGACATGAGCCACCAGGAAACATTGCTGTTTCCTCGTGGCTCATATCTGGAATTCGGATACAATTCCAGACATGAGCCACTAATTCCTAATTCCATGAGCCACCAAATAGCCTAATTCGGATAGACTGAAAAACAAATCTGCCAACGAACGGTTTAACGTGACATTTTTTCAATAAACATAACGAAATAATGTTCACTTCATTATATTCAACTGAGCATTACTCAAAATAAAATCGCATTATGGGGCAGTAAAAATCATCAGCATAATTTAAATTTTAATTAGCCTACGTTAGGCAGCGTTCACGCAAGCACGAAAAGCCTCAATCATTCGGGTTTATTAATTCAATTACGCCCAGAGAGTTAATAAAACTGGTAGTACTGACAAAACTATCATCAATAATAACAACTATTACTGACAAAACTATCATCAATGATAACAACTATTACTGACAAAACTATCATCAATGATAACAACTAATCACTGATAAAACTAGGATTACAGAGCGTAAATGCAACACGTTAATACTCTAACATTTGACAATTAGAGAGAGAGAGAGAGAGAGAGAGAGAGTTTCAGGAAGTAATGCTGGAACCGGCGATGAAAGTTGTGCCTTTTGGTCAGTGTACTTAAACCTTTGCTGGCAAACACTTGTTGTTTGGCGAGTGACGGCCACTGCCCCGTCAGCCACGGACTCCAGAGAGAGAGAGAGAGAGAGAGAGATCTTTGTCAAATGTTACCCTCCTCGTGTACTTTGTCCACGGTAATGTCCCAATATTTACTGTGTTAGTATTTCTTCAACAACTTGCTGTTATCATTTGCGGTGCGTCAAATGCATCTTGTATGAACATGAAATAAGTTTTTTTTTTTTACGGTTCGACAATCGAACAAATGCAAGATATTTGGTGGTGTTAACACCACTGCTTTGTAGGCAGCAGCCTGACGGACTCTCTTGTCAATATGTATTTTTAAGACACAGAACATTACAGTGACGACTCTCCTGTGAGTATAGTGATCACTGTGACACAGAATATCACAGTATGAGAAATTATGAGTACTCAGGAAAACGGTAGAGAAAGTGCAAAAACTTATGAGCATTGAGGAGGACTAGCCAGAAAGGTGTGAGGACTTATGAGTAGTGAGGAAGAGTGTGAGGGGCTACCACACGTGCCGAAGACACAACTGAGGTGTTTTATGTTAAAGGTGAACTACTGACCAAGCTCCTCTCTCTCTTACCCAGGTAGCTAGTCCTCCCGTCACCCAGGTGGCTAGTCCTCCCGTCACCCAGGTGGCTAGTCCTCCCGTCACCCAGGTGGCTAGTCCTCCCGTCACCCAGGTGGCTAGTCCTCCCGTCACCCAGGTGGCTAACCAGCGCATTGGTCATGCCACTAACCACCACCTCAGTCATGCCCCAACACCTGGAATAGCGTCTCAATATGGTGGTTGGGACCTTGTGAGAGCAGTGACAGGTGTTGGCCAACACCCGCAGCTGGTGGTCCATGTGTGTATGTATCTACATATTTGTGATGGCGGACGAGTGAACCTAAGCTCTCGGGCGCCATCTTTTAGCTCCGTGATGCCTCCAATCTTGGTCCTCTGCCATGTATATACTAAAGAAATACTTTCCTATATTCCTCCGATTCATTTATGTTTACTGTTATCTCCTGTTATTCATAATACAGCTGTGTGTTTTCCTGTATCCCTGATTACTTTGTATTATAATCTTTCCCTGTGATGTAAGGCTCAATTATAATATATCATTGTACCCAAGCTCATATTGGCAGAACCTTCCTGCCTTATCTGTATCGTGCTTGTGGTTTAAGAGTTGTTGGTTATGTATACTCCTGGTAGGTAGTGCTTGGATAATACATGCTAGAGGTGAGGATAATACTCTAGCTAAATACTACCTAGAGTATTATACGTGTATAATACCTAGAGTATTATACGTTTATAATACTACGTAGAGTATTATACGTGTATAACACTCTAGGTAGAAAGGGAAGAATGTTCTAGGTAGGTTGTGTGTTAAGTGAGACTTGAAATTTGTATCATTTGTCATAGCCTGCAATGGGTGAGGGGTCGACCCCAACCCGCCTATGATCATCCCCAAACGACATCCAGTCACCCTGCAATGTTTTGTGACGCTAACCTTCCCTTCCCCGGCCTCGAACAGACATTTTCTTTTAAAGATATAGGTATACTAGTATATCTTGGGAGGAGATTCTCATTAATATATACGGTGTTGAACGCAACAGCATTATTACAATTGTTAATATTCATATATATATTTTCCTTTCTACGTAAATACTTTCTATCAAATAATGAGTAAAGAAACTAGTTTATTTAGACTTTGTAGTTTATTTCAACGTTTCGTCAAGAACGTGATATCTTCAGCAATATGCACACAGTGAGGGTAAGACAAGAATATTAGACGAGTAAGAAGTTGTTTGAGATTCAGCTACTGCGAACAAAATGTTCCAAGTAGCACGGGCTATGGTGAGCCCGTAGTGGACTTACCTCACACAAGAGCGGGGGTGTAACTGGGGGCTGTATAAAATATTGTAACAAATCGACAGATATATAGATGGAAGGCTAGCAACGAGTCATGTCAGCTTTGTGCTTGGTTGAAGATTAAGCCACCCAAGAGGCGGGACCAAGGAGCACACCTTATAAAGATTGTTGAATACTTCGTGTTAATGAAGTGTTCAGGTTTTTTTCAACTTGGGTAAGCTTAGGGTGTGACGCCACTCACAGCGTCCTTTAGCAACGTCTCCAGGAGGCCCTCCAGGAGGCCTACCAGGGGGCTGAGACACAACATCTCCTCAGAGAGGCATAGAGAGTGACTGGGCGAGTGTTTCAAAGGCGTCAGGTGAAGGAGAGTGTGGGCGTGTGTTTGCCTGTCTCCTGGGCCAGCCTCAGGGGCTCTGGGACGCTGGTGGAGGCGTCGCTCACTGTTGGTTTGACCTTTTTAATGCATGCCATCCGTGACGCTAGCAAGGGCCGCCAGCAGCTGGTGAGGGTGTTTCTAAGACGGTCCGGGTATGTTTGAGCCGTCGTGGGTACTGTCTCGTCTTCACCTACTTGTAGAGGGGACATGATCTTAACATAAAAGATAGTGAACCGACTACATATATACTAGAGGTAGTACCCAGAGTTACTCGGGTGACAGAAGCCACATCTTCACTATACACTATCTTCATTACTGTAACCATCTTTACCACATATTATCTTCATCAGTGTAATCATCTTTACTACACAACCATCGTCACTAACCGTCTTTATTAAACACTATTTTCCGCACCATAATCATCTTAATTACTCAACCATCATCAGGACACACAACCTGTAGCACTGTAAACGTCTGCACTACACACCATCATCTTCATCACTGTACCCATCTGCACTAACTACTGTCTTCACCTTTGTAACTATGACAGTCGTTAGTGCCCGTTCTCGCGAGCGTTCCCACCGTCAAGAAACTGTGCTACTAACGAACCCTAACCTAACCTACCAGAGGACCCCACGCAGAAAACGGGACGTTATGTCACTTTCGCGAGCCGCTACCACTGTCTAGTACGACAGTTTTTGGCCTTAAGTAGAGTATACGTCCAAATGGGACGTGCTATTAAGAGGACTTATTACAAAATTGTCCAGGCACTGTTGCATTCCCTATCTACAACCTTCCCTCTCTACCTTCCCCACCTCCCTTACACTTCACTACGTTCTCTACCCTTCACAATCTTTCCTAACTTTAAGACCCTGTCTACCCTTGACCACCTTCCTTACCGTTAACCAGGTTTCATACCCTTCACCAGCTTCCCGCCTCTTCACCGTGGACCCTTCACCACTGTAACCATCTTCAATATACACTGTCGTTTCTTTCGGTCACTCTCCTGGCCAGGGCTCGAACCCAGACGAAATCGCTCGCGAGAGGCATGTCGAGTGTGCTACCACACTTATGGGAATTTGTGATTATTTTTTTATAATTAAATTATTCACTAGATTTCAGAGGTAAAGAATATCGCAACCTATCCCAGGATTTTACCCCATCATCAATATGATGATGTGTTTGGTATATGATGTGATGATATATAGGTCTAATATTCAGTGTTTGTCCCCCAGGTGGCCAGCGAGAAGGACTACCGCAGCCAGACCACGGTGGAGACCTGGCCAACACCTTCTAAGAGCCCAACCACCTTCACTATATCAACAAAGTCTCCCCCTGGCCGTTGGGAACGCTGTGAAGATCAGCAACGCGCGCCTGAGACACTGTCAAGGTGTTGAGGTTTGACAGCAAGTTGCCAGAAGCTGACTGCGGCCAGTCATGAAGTCGGTGATGGTGACAGTGACGGTGGCGTTATGGGTGTCAACGGTGGCCCGAGGCTCACCACAACCTATCGGCGAGTGTAAGGTGAGGTTACACTCGGCGTGGGGTCACACTCGGCGTGGGGTCACACTCGGCGTGGGGTCACACTCGGCGTGGGGTCACACTCGGCGTGAGGTCACACTCGGCGTGAGGTCACACTCACTTAGGGTGAGGTCAGAATCTAACTACTATACACACACACAACCCACTTGATATACTTGTCGGAGTATATCTCGTATAGGAGGACCTGCTGCATGGGTGACAGCTTCTCCCCCGTATCAACTTACACTGGCTTTGCGCCCTGGAGAGGCCACTCCAGACCGACAACCAGAGCTCAACTACATAGTCTCCTGAGACTGATGGATGCCTACTACTACTCTTGTAGGGAGCGAGACACCAGCTCCTGGACCCCACCCTATAACAAATCCGCGTACATCCTCAGCCTCTACCGCATTCCCATTCTCCCTCCCGTCACTATGGAAACATTCCTTCTACTGTCCCTTTAGCTCCAACCATTGGACTGGACGGTAGAGCGACGGTCTCGCTTCATGCAGGTTGGCGTTCAATCCCCGACCGTCCAAGTGGTTGGGCACCATTCCTTTTCCCCCGTCCCATCCCAAATCCTTATATCCTGACCCCTTCCAAGTGCTATATAGTCATAATGGCTTGGCGTTTTCCCCAGATACTTCCTTCCTCCCCCCCCCCATCCCATACGAGCCTCCTCTTCCAATCTGGGTTCCGTCGTCTTGTTCACTTTTATGCTGAACATTGCACGTGAGAGTGGATGTGTGTACTCACCTATTTATGCCTGCAGGATCGAGCATTAGCTCTTGGATCCCGCCTTTCTAGTCACCGGTTGTCTAAAGCAATGACTCCTGTGCTATTTCCCAATCATATCTACTTTTAAAATGATGAATATAGTTTGCTTCCGCAACCTGTTCCTTGAGTTCATTCCATTTCCCGGCTACTCTTAAGCTAAATGAAAACTTTCTAACATCTCAATGACTGAGTCTCGAGCTCCCTTGTTCTAGCGTGCGCGCGCGTGTGCATATCAACCAGCAGCTGTGCTGGCGAAGGCTGAGCTTCGGATCTTGGGTTCCGTTTCTCAACCTTCAGTGACTGGTGTACAGGCTCCCGAGCCCTTTGGTCTCGTTGTACAGCAGACTATGAAGGGAGTCTTGCTCTTCCACTCCACTACTTAGTTAATTCTATTTTTGCCCCACTGACACAGAAACAATAGTTTATAATATTACTGTGACTCTTTCGGGGTGTACTTTGTTTCCATGCGTGTTTCCTTGTATGTGCCCCCGTGTGACGTGGACCTAAATTCCTTAAGTCTTTCCTTGTAACTCACGCCTCTTAGCTCTGGGACTTGTATGGTAGAATGCCTCCGGACCTGTCCCAGCTTTTTTATGTTGCTGACGGAATACTGACCCCATGCTAGAGCGGGTGAATATAGAAAGTCTTCCCTCCTCTCTAGCTATAAACAGAGAGAAATATCACGTTCTCTAATAATCGTTTCTCACTTCCTAAACTTTCCCTTCTCACAAAAATAAATGTTGCCACCTCTCACCGTGTTATCCACCTCCCCAGTAACCAAAACTTATCGTCCTCTGCAGACAGAGGCGCAGGTCCTGGCAGACAACAATAGTTGATGCCTGGCAATAGGTCCCTGATGCCTCCAATCTTGGTCCTCTGCCATGTATATACTAAAGAAATACTGTCCTATACTTTCCAGACAGCATTGCAGGTTCTGGCAGACAACAACTCGTGCACCCGCTTCCACGTCTGCCGCCTCCTAGACGACGGCCAGTTCACCACGGACATCGCCGTCTGCCCGAACAGGATGCTCTTCGACATGGTCAGCCTCACCTGTGAGTACCTGTCACGGTGTGGCCACCACGAAGTCGCTGAGCGCTTCGCAGTGTGCGCTGGGCTTTACAGGAACGAGTTAGTATTTAATGGGACTGCGGGTCAGTTTTGAGAGGAAGGTGGAGACATGAACAAGTGGGTTTTGCGGGCTAGGTTTTGTATGAGAGTTTTAATGACTCGGTGGAATATAAAGAAACTGAGGTGAATCTGAGTTTAATAAAAGTTTGGATATTTAAAATATCATTGTAGCGTGAGTTTGGACCTAGAAAGAATTAAAGGGTTTAGGAAATGTTTTGTGAACAGAGGTATTGGGTGACAATGAATTTTAGAGTCATGACTGGGGTGGAGGAGCTAGAGCAGGATGTACGGGACTGGGGTAATGGCTGGGAGTCCTGTAGGTCTCAGGCCAGATTAAAAGTTGAAGCTGCGGCATTTAGGAAGCCAGGATGAAGCCGGCACTACTAGGGTGTAAAGGATAATGGGTAAGATTTAATGTAGAGGAAAGTGATTGTCTATTTAGGCCAGAGTGCACATCTTGGCGAGCCAACTGATGCTAGGTCTTTCATCATCAACAGGCATCAACCTGCCGAAAGGCTACGTACAGGACCCCTCCAGCTGCACCAAGGTCAGTACCTGCCGTCTCTTCTCGTTTCTCCTCTACCCTACCATTTATCTTCTCGCCTATCTCTTCTCCGCACATCCTGGCAGCGATAACGTGCGATAAAGGACACCATCACTCTCCCAACACAATGCAAGATAAGCCGAGGATCCGCTATATATCCTCACTATCGAGACGCTAAACAAAAACCATTTTAGTGTTGCCAAGCACCATCCATGGAGATATATATGGCTCCCCACTTGCCAGTCCTTCACAGCGTCCTTGCTGGAATATTTTATGTGAAGTTGTTCTCCTAGTGGACAGTGACGAACTGGTGATCACTTGCTCTTCAGTTCCAGCCCTGTTAAGCACTCATTATATATATTTGTAACTGTCAGCCACGTGATATATCTTGGTGAAGAGGGTTATAAACCCACTCCGTACATGCCTCCATACTTGTATGCAATTGATGTCAACATTCTTCCCCGTGTATTGTATATTATCATAGTGCTCTCTCTCCCTTTCGTTTAAAATTATAACTGCAGAAATTAGGAGTAGTGATGATGCCCCTAATGAAACTTCAAGGTAAGAGCTGTAATCCTACATAAGCTCATTCGAAACCCGACCATAGAGTTGATTTATTTAATGAGCTTATTATTGCTTTTCAGTATAAAAAAATGATTGAATGTAACGTTACATTCATGTAACGTACAGTGTAAACCAGGAGCCAGTTGTGTACCGCTGGCTCGGTTGACTGGATTTGACGCGTATCTACGTGTTGAGAGAACGTGTTCCAAATGTGAGTCAGTCCCAAAATGAATGGTCGCTGATTGAGTGATTTCTTGAGAATGGCGCACCCAGAGTAAAGCTGTTTATTGGCTGAGCGCCTTTTGTTATGGTTACCAATTTCTGGTTAGCCACGAAGTTCGCCCAGGTGGAAATCTTGATAACATTGGCCTCGTACATAAGAGTAAGGCCGCAAACATCTCTCAGCTGTTGTAGGCTCTGGTAATTACTGACAAGTCCAATCACAGTGGCTCAAGACTAAAGACGAGTCTTCTCACACACTTCTCTACCTTGTCCAGAATTCAGATAAATGACGGGGATTCGGGCCATGCAAGGAGAGCAAACTTGTGCTTCATATAAGGTTTTGTTAAGAAAGTGTGACGAGTGGGGGGGGGGGGGGTCTCACTCGCCGGGTTCACCATGTGGCTCTTCATGGTCATTGATGAGTCAACTTGCAATATCTTGCTGTCTTGTTATCATCATCATCATCATCATCGCCGCCGCTGGTGTTTTCACCAAGTTGACCCATTTACTTGTAAGAGATGTTTCCTAAGTGTTGATGCAGAACACGGTGTGGCTGAGGAAGGCAGAGAAGAACAGCAAGAACAGGTAAACGGGAACACACACACACACACACACTGTCAGTCTCGTGTGGTGGTCAAGAACCTTCTATTCCCTAAAATTCTGGCCATGCCTCACAGCTGACCTCATATGGCCTTGGAAGGCGGATCACGATGAGGGGATGAGAGTTAGTGCCACCATTGTCCTCTGTCCCGTCCTCTCCCATCACCTCCTCCCTTCCCTCTTGTGATTCAGCCTGCGAGAAGAGAGAGGGGAGGGGGGGGTGGATGCAGAGGGGCTGACCCAGACTGGGGCCCAGTAATGACCCCTCAATATATCTCCCCGGGATGATGATGGTGTCCATGCACTCCCCCTTTTATATTCTCTTCTTTACCTCCCACCCCTTTCTTCCTCTTCTCTAGCGCCAGTTCATTTTTCCCTTCCCCTCCCGTCCCCCTTCCTTTCAACTCTAGTCTTTATTCAGAGTTCTCTCTCTCTCGTTCTCCCCCGTGTTCTTGTTCTCCCGTGTCTTTTTCTGAAGACCTGTCTCCCCTGTTCTCCCCGTGTTTTTTTTATGGAGTAAGCCGTGTCTCCAGCATCCACGACTCACCTCTGTGACAGGCGGCGTCCGCCCGCCACAGATACAACTTTTGTATTCTTTTGCCCCGCGGGATGGCGCCATTCATGGTGGGAGTGACGACACAGCCGGGGCAGCATGCACAACACCCCGTAGCAGGAGAACCCGCTGGGGTGTTCCTCCTGTGTTACTTGTACCCACACGCGGGTATGACTCGTTTAAGTCTCAAGTGGTGCCACTGTGACACACGTGTACTAACATGTGCCAAACGTAAAGTCTAGGTTCTCTTGCTGGTGCAAAATCACGGGGGGAGTCTTTCCAGACCGATATATTTAATAGCAAATGTTTTCATAACGCAATATAAGGATTACGATAAGGCGTATATTAGATCCCTAGGTAGAGAGTGTGGGGAACGGGGCGACGTCCTCCTATGGGGCTGAGGGCGCAGCAGCTGCTCCTGTGGGGCTGAGGGTGCAGCAGCTGCTCCTGTGGGACTGAGGGCGCAGCAGCTGCTCCTGCAACTGACGCTTCCATGACGGTCCTCCACAGTGACATTTGTCTCCAAGACAGATACTTTTTTTCTTGTTACTGCTTCACTCTCATTTCTGTTCTTCCATTATCTCTTCACAATACTGTTTACTGATACCTCGAACTTGTAGAGGAGCCTTCGTCTCTTTGTGCTTTGGCCCGTCTTAACAGCACTGTAGGACCTGGGGAAGGTATGCACTGGGCCCCCGTACCCATATGTCGGGCCCCGCCCGTCAGCTAAAGTAAACGATTAACCTCAAATAGTTATCCACAAATTATTAATAAATATAATTACAAAAGGGAATTGAATCCCAGGCTTTTCCAGAGAGGTGGAGATCTACATTCCCAAGAGACCTCTCAACAACACTACGACATTATGGGGCCCCTAGAGTGGTGGGGCCCCTAGAGTGGTGGGGCCCCTAGAGTGGTGGGGCCCCTAGAGTGGTGGGGCCACTAGAGTGGTGGGGCCCCTACCTATTGCCCATAAGTTAGTGCCCAGTGCCAGTGCCCATACGTTAAGATGGCACTGCTTGAGCAGCCTCAGCTGCTAACACTGCCACACAAGCCTTCACACAATTGTCAGGGAGTTTATTATCCCTTTATTGGTTAGTGTTGACGCCTCAGTCTAAGACCATGAAGAGCGGCTCTTGAGTCAGTGCAGATCACTCACTGCTCCCCCTCGTGCTCCAATATATGTATCTTAAGACCATAATAATGGCAATTACCTCAGTTTGGCATGAAGAGGAAGGATTTTTAATTCGTGAGACTCCCACCCTTCCATTAGCAGGATTTGCAGTCATTAGTGTAAATTTGATCTAATTAATTTCCAGCTCCCTTAATACTTTATACCTGAATCGTGTATCATTTCTACCTGGAGGAAGTTGGACTCGTTCGTTGTCATATCTTATATTTTGACCTTGCAAGACATTTCTCTCCAAATTGATTAAGGTCTGCAGGAGCAGGTGGAGTTCTTGTAAGTTACACACGACTCCATCTTACCACTTTGACTATATGAGCGTGCTTACACCTCGGGTCTTTTATCCTGCTATTAACGCAAGGAACACTAAATAGTTGCCATGGATGGCGTGTTATGACACCATTTGGGACTACAATGATGCCAATCATGGCTTCGTTTTGTATGCTTTTGAGTTTCTTTATATCAGTAGAGGAGCATGTACGCGAACCATGTGTACATCACGTGACCACGACGCTGGGTGCACACTGGCATAGGTCTCCGGGACCCCGCGGGGGATTTGCAGGTTCTTTCCTGTAAGGTCAAATTTCCTCCTGTTGCGGGAGTGTGTAATAACACCAAGGTGCCCATGACGGTCAACCCTTCAACGGTGTCACCATATATTTACTGGTGTTGATACACGCCCTACCACCTCACACACACACACACACACACACACACACACACACACACACACACACACACACACACACACACACACACACACACACACACACACACACACACACACACACACACACACACACACACACACACACACACACACACACACACACACACACACACACACTGAGGATGTTTTATTCATGGTATCCAACTCCACGTTACCCCCAATACTCTTCGTACCGGTGTGGGCTGTCGCTGTCCTCCCCCCTCCCCTCCTCCCCCGCCAGCCTCACCCAGGGTATAGGCAGATTAATACGGCCAATAATATGTCGTAAATTACACGGGACATTTGGAAGCCTTAAAGGCGTCACCAACAGAAGCCTCGCCACCTCCCGCTGCCCAGCAGCACGAGAACCCCCACATATACACACCCAACAACACTCAGAAAAATCCAGACGGGGTCACCACGCTCCGCTGGAAGACTGGCAAGGTGATGGTGTGGGACGACACATGTTGCCCCACAGCGGCCACCACCCACCTTCACTATAATGCAATTGAAGGAGTTGAACTGATTTTTTCTGGAAGACGTATAACAAAAACCATCAAATCCATGAGACGGACTCGGTGCTTCCCCTTCGTCGTGACTGGCCCAGTGTGGCAAATGTGCACTAAAGTTCCTGAAAGAGTGTGGTAGATAAATTAATTAGGATAACTATAGACCGTAGATCGACAAGATTCTTGTTACAGCGCCTTAGCATTGCGATTCAGAGGGGAAATGCTTACTGTAATCTGGCATGCGCTCGACCACCATCTCAAGATGTTTTCATTGTAATAATCGTTATGTAAGTTTGTGCAAGGCCTTATGTAACCCTTTTCCTGTTCTTGACTTGAAATGTGAGTGTTTGATACGTGTCAGAGCCACACAATACGTATCATAACTACCAATCAAATAAGTGCTAGTAATGCAAATGACCGGTGGACAAAACTACTCAGACGATGTGTGAGAAACGTTCAGATTTCCTCTGAACGCTTTTTATTTTCTTGTTTGAGGCTATATATTAAATGCTTGTGTGTTCAGATGGGTGGCCGCATTCTCTCATGCAGCAGATACTTACGGTTGATATAAATCTATCCTTCGCTCCTCTCTCTCTCTCTCTCTCTCTCTCTCTCTCTCTCTCTCTCTCTCTCTCTCTCTCTCTCTCTCTCTCTCTCTCT